GATCTCCCCCTGCACCCCTCCTCTGTGGGATCTCCCCTGCACCCCTCACTGTGGGATCTCCCCCTGCACCCCTCACTGTGGGATCTCCCCCTGCACCCCTCACTGTGGGATCTCCCCTGCACCCCTCCTCTGTGGGATCTTCCCCTGCACCCCTCACTGTGGGATCTTCCCTGCACCCCTCACTGTGGGATCTCCCCCTGCACCCCTCACTGTGGGATCTCCCCCTGCACCCCTCCTCTGTGGGATCTCCCCCTGCACCCCTCACTGTGGGATCTCCCCCTGCAACCCTCCTCTGTGGGATCTCCCCCTGCAACCCTCACTGTGGGATCTCCCCTGCACCCCTCCTCTGTGGGATCTCCCCCTGCACCCCTCACTGTGGAGATCTCCCCCTGCACCCCTCACTGTGGGATCTCCCCCTGCACCCCTCACTGTGGGATCTTCCCCTGCACCCCTCACTGTGGGATCTCCCCCTGCACCTCACTGTGGAGATCTCCCCTGCACCCCTCCTCTGTGGGATCTCCCCCTGCACCCCTCACTGTGGAGATCTCCCCTGCACCCCTCACTGTGGGATCTCCCCCTGCACCCCTCACTGTGGAATCTCCCCCTGCACCCCTCACTGTGGGATCTCCCCCTGCACCCCTCACTGTGGGATCTCCCCTGCACCCCTCCTCTGTGGATCTCCCCCTGCACCCCTCACTGTGGGATCTCCCCCTGCACCCCTCCTCTGTGGGATCTCCCCTGCACCCCTCACTGTGGGATCTCCCCTGCACCCCTGCACCCCTCACTGTGGGATCTCCCCCTGCACCCCTCACTGTGGGATCTCCCCTGCACCCCTGCACCCCTCACTGTGGGATCTCCCCCTGCACCCCTCACTGTGGGATCTCCCCCTGCACCCCTCACTGTGGGATCTCCCCCTGCACCCCTCACTGTGGGATCTCCCCTGCACCCCTCCTCTGTGGGATCTCCCCCTGCACCCCTCACTGTGGGATCTCCCCCTGCACCCCTCACTGTGGGATCTCCCCCTGCACCCCTCCTCTGTGGGATCTCCCCCTGCACCCCTCACTGTGGGATCTCCCCTGCACCCCTCACTGTGGGATCTCCCCCTGCACCCCTCACTGTGGGATCTCCCCCTGCACCCCTCACTGTGGGATCTCCCCCTGCACCCCTCACTGTGGGATCTCCCCCTGCACCCCTCACTGTGGGATCTCCCCCTGCACCCCTCACTGTGGGATCTCCCCTGCACCCCTCCTCTGTGGGATCTCCCCCTGCACCCCTCACTGTGGGATCTCCCCTGCACCCCTCCTCTCCCCCTGCACCCCTCCTCTGTGGGATCTCCCCCTGCACCCCTCACTGTGGGATCTCCCCCACCCCTCACTGTGGGATCTCCCCCTGCACCCCTCACTGTGGGATCTCCCCCTGCACCCCTCCTCTGTGGGATCTCCCCCTGCACCCCTCACTGTGGGATCTCCCCCTGCACCCCTCACTGTGGGATCTCCCCTGCACCCCTCCTCTGTGGGATCTCCCCCTGCACCCCTCACTGTGGGATCTCCCCTGCACCCCTCCTCTGTGGGATCTCCCCCTGCACCCCTCACTGTGGGATCTCCCCTGCACCCCTGCACCCCTCACTGTGGGATCTCCCCCTGCACCCCTCCTCTGTGGGATCTCCCCCTGCACCCCTCACTGTGGGATCTCCCCCTGCACCCCTCACTGTGGGATCTCCCCTGCACCCCTCCTCTGTGGGATCTCCCCCTGCACCCCTCACTGTGGGATCTCCCCTGCACCCCTCCTCTGTGGGATCTCCCCCTGCACCCCTCACTGTGGGATCTCCCCCTGCACCCCTCACTGTGGGATCTCCCCCTGCACCCCTCCTCTGTGGGATCTCCCCTGCACCCCTCACTGTGGGATCTTCCCCTGCACCCCTCCTCTGTGGGATCTCCCCCTGCACCCCTCACTGTGGGATCTCCCCTGCACCCCTCACTGTGGGATCTCCCCTGCACCCCTCACTGTGGGATCTCCCCCTGCACCCCTCACTGTGGGATCTCCCCTGCACCCCTCACTGTGGGATCTCCCCTGCACCCCTCACTGTGGGATCTTCCCCCTGCACCCCTCACTGTGGGATCTTCCCTGCACCCCTCACTGTGGGATCTCCCCCTGCACCCCACTGTGGGATCTCCCCCTGCACCCCTCACTGTGGGATCTCCCCTGCACCCCTCACTGTGGGATCTCCCCTGCACCCCTGCAACCCTGCACTGTGGGATCTCCCCCTGCAACCCTCACTGTGGGATCTCCCCCTGCACCCCTCACTCTGTGGGATCTCCCCCTGCACCCCTCACTGTGGAGATCTCCCCTGCACCCCTCACTGTGGGATCTCCCCTGCACCCCTCACTGTGGAGATCTCCCCCTGCACCCCTCACTGTGGGATCTCCCCTGCACCCCTCACTGTGGGATCTTCCCCTGCACCCCTCACTGTGGGATCTTCCCTGCACCCCTCACTGTGGGATCTCCCCCTGCACCCCACTGTGGGATCTCCCCTGCACCCCTCACTGTGGGATCTCCCCTGCACCCCTCACTGTGGGATCTCCCCCTGCAACCCTCACTGTGGGATCTCCCCCTGCAACCCTCACTGTGGGATCTCCCCTGCACCCCTCCTCTGTGGGATCTCCCCCTGCACCCCTCACTGTGGAGATCTCCCCTGCACCCCTCACTGTGGGATCTCCCCCTGCACCCCTCACTGTGGGATCTTCCCCTGCACCCCTCACTGTGGGATCTCCCCCTGCACCTCACTGTGGAGATCTCCCCTGCACCCCTCCTCTGTGGGATCTCCCCCTGCACCCCTCACTGTGGAGATCTCCCCTGCACCCCTCACTGTGGGATCTCCCCCTGCACCCCTCACTGTGGAATCTCCCCCTGCACCCCTCACTGTGGGATCTCCCCCTGCACCCCTCACTGTGGGATCTCCCCTGCACCCCTCCTCTGTGGGATCTCCCCCTGCACCCCTCACTGTGGGATCTCCCCCTGCACCCCTCCTCTGTGGGATCTCCCCTGCACCCCTCACTGTGGGATCTCCCCCTGCACCCCTCACTGTGGGATCTCCCCCTGCACCCCTCCTCTGTGGGATCTCCCCCTGCACCCCTCACTGTGGGATCTCCCCCTGCACCCCTCACTGTGGGATCTCCCCCACCCCTCACTGTGGGATCTCCCCCTGCTCCCCCTGCACCCCTCCTCTGTGGGATCTCCCCTGCACCCCTGCACCCCTCACTGTGGGATCTCCCCCTGCACCCCTCACTGTGGGATCTCCCCTGCACCCCTCCTCTGTGGGATCTCCCCCTGCACCCCTCACTGTGGGATCTCCCCTGCACCCCTCACTGTGGGATCTCCCCCTGCACCCCTCACTGTGGGATCTCCCCCTGCACCCCTCCTCTGTGGGATCTCCCCTGCACCCCTCACTGTGGGATCTCCCCCTGCACCCCTCACTGTGGGATCTCCCCTGCACCCCTCCTCTGTGGGATCTCCCCCTGCACCCCTCACTGTGGGATCTCCCCTGCACCCCTCCTCTGTGGGATCTCCCCCTGCACCCCTCACTGTGGGATCTCCCCCTGCACCCCTCACTGTGGGATCTCCCTGCACCCCTCACTGTGGGATCTCCCCTGCACCCCTCCTCTGTGGGATCTCCCCTGCACCCCTCCTCTGTGGGATCTCCCTGCACCCCTCACTGTGGGATCTCCCCTGCACCCCACTGTGGGATCTCCCTGCACCCCTCACTGTGGGATCTCCCCCTGCACCCCTCACTGTGGGATCTCCCCTGCACCCCTCACTGTGGGATCTCCCCCTGCACCCCACTGTGGGATCTCCCCTGCACCCCTCACTGTGGGATCTCCCCCTGCACCCCTCACTGTGGGATCTCCCCCTGCACCCCTCACTGTGGGATCTCCCCTGCACCCCTCACTGTGGGATCTCCCCTGCACCCCTCACTGTGGAGATCTCCCCTGCACCCCACTGTGGGATCTCCCCCTGCACCCCTCACTGTGGGATCTCCCCCTGCACCCCTCACTGTGGGATCTCCCCTGCACCCCTCACTGTGGGATCTCCCCTGCACCCCTCCCCCAATCTGGGCACCCTTCAGCTGCAGGGCACCCGCGCGGGGCGGGCACTGGGCGCACCCCACGCGAGCTCTAACGTACCAGGGGCTTCCCGGCCCAGTCGTACTCGTAGTCGAACACGTAGCCGCTGCGGTCGAAGAGGTCGGTGAAGAGCTTCCTCAGGTAGTCGTAGTCCGGCTTCTCGAAGAAGTCCAGGCGCCGCACGTAGCGCAGGTAGGTGGCCATCTCCTCTGCAAAAGACCGGGGCAGGGGCGCGGTCACGTGGGCAGCCGACGTGGGCGTGGCCGCGGGGCAGGGTCACGTGAGCAGCCGGCGGGGTGTGGCCGCGGGGGCGTGGCAGGATCACGTGGGCAACCGGAGGGGGCGGGGCAGGGTCACGTGGGCAGCCGGCGGGGCGTGGCCGCGGGGGGCGGGGCGGGGCTCCTACCCGGGAAGCTCTCGCACAGCGCCTCAATGGGCGTGGCGCGCTTGGTGTCCCCGATCTTCTGGTAGCGCTCCTTCAGCGTGTCGGCCTGCGGGGGAGGCGGGGTCAGGGTCCGGCCCCTCCCCGCGCCCGCCCCCCCGGGAGGCCCCGCCCACCTTGAGCCCCTGCCAGGGCAGGCTGCCGCGCAGGAAGTACATGAACATGTGTCCCAGCGCCTCCAGGTCGTCCCGGCGGCTCTGCTCTGCGGGGACAGCACGGGCTCAGCGCCGCCCCCGCCCCGCCCCCTCCCCGCCCCTCTCATCCCGCCCCGCCCCCGCCCCCGCCCCGCTCACCCTTGCCCAGGTGCGTGTTGATGCTCATGTAGCGCGCCGTGCCCGTCAGGCTCTTGTGCTCGCGGTACGGGATGTGCTTCTTGGTCTCGGGGTCGATGTACTCCTTGGCCAGCCCGAAGTCGATGATGTGGATGGCGTGCTGCCGTTTGCTGCCCGGCCGCCCCACCAGGAAGTTCTCGGGCTTCACATCGCGGTAGATGAGGCTCTTGGTATGCACGTACTCCATGCGCGTGATCTGCGGGACGGGGCGGGGTCAGCGCCCGGGCCCCGCCCCGCCGGGCCCCGCCCCCGCCGGGCCCCGCCCCCGCACCAGCTGGATGGCGATCATCAGCACGGTCTTCAGCGTGAAGGTGCGGTCGCACAGGTCGAACAGGTCCTCCAGGCTGGGCCCCAGCAGCTCCAGCACCATGGCGTTATACTTCCCGCATGGGCCGAAGTAGTAGACCTGAGGGACGCCCTCTGCGGAGCAGACACGCGTGCTGGACACCTGAAGCCCCTGCCTGCCCCACGCCCCGCGCCCTCCTCCCGGGGCGCCCACGCCCCGCGCCCGCTCACCTGCCGTGCTAAGCTGCTTGTAGAAGCGGTACTCCAGGTGCAGCTGCGGGGCCCGGGACTTGATGGGCTCCTGCGGGACAGGGGACTGTTACCCAGGCCCTCCTCCTGGGCCTGGGGTGTGCGGCGGGGCGGGGCGGGGCAGGGCAGACTCACCAGCTTGATAGCCACGTACTCGTTTGTGTACAGGTTCTTTCCTGGGGGAGGGGCGACAGAGAGCATCAGGACTGTGGGCTACTGAGCCCGCCCCACCCAGACCCCAGGGATGCACTCTCCACAACATTCCACAGCAGCTGGAGGCACCCCTGCCAGCTGCGCAGGAATCCCGGGACTGCACCTCCCACCACCTGCACGCAGTCATGGGAAGGGGTCTCCCTTGGGCCCCAGCAGGTCATGACTGAACCCCTCCTCACATTGGAGGCACCCCCACAAAACCACACACACTACCAATATGGCTGGCTGAGTGGAGGTGGTGCTGGCTCCCCACGCTGCTGCTGATCCCACCCCGGTGAATCCAGCAGTGGGACCAGCTGCAGTCTGCCTCTCCTGCAGGGTCACATCTGACATGCCTGGGCAGATCTCACCCCAGCCCCCAGCATGTGTTTACATCAGCATCACCAGTCACAAAGGCCACTTCCAGGGCCACACCCCAGTGGCTGCCCCTGTCACCCCTGAAGGGAAAGCACGTTCCTGCTGCAGAGGCCCTGCGTACAGGGTGGGTCCCGTGGCCAGGCCGTGTCCATAACTGCCTTGTCCCCAGCTGTCTGGCAGGGACGCTCACTCCCTGCTTTGCCCCTAGATGTCTCCTCACCCATCAGCTGCCAAGTCGCTGCCACCAGCACGTGGCCCTCTCCTGACCCAGGCCAAGGTCAGGACCCACCTCTAGCTTGTCTCCTGTGGCAGCGACAGCCCGACATCTCCCGGGACCCACCAGAGCGCCCCAGGTTGTGTAAGGTGCAGCGCCACGGAGTTTCTTCCAAGAGGAGGCTCAGCGGTGGTCCTCGTCTCCCTGGGGCTGGGCTCCACCCCTCCACCTCACAATGGCTGTCCCTTGCCGGGGGACAGGGCCTGCTCGCTGCCCTGGTCAGCTGTCACCTGGAGGATCTGTTTGAGTCGGCTCCCTTCTCCCTGGACTGTGCCTCTACCCAGCCCTGGCTCTCACATGCCGGGAAGTCAGGCGCTGCTGAGCCGACTCAGCCAGCTGCAGCCCATGAGCAGGTGTCTCCCACGTTAACCACCCCAGGCTCACTTTGCTTCTGTGGCATTTCCCCTGGGGCTCTGCTGAAGACAGTTTCTGATGACCCAGCCCTGCTCTTCTGCTGGCCTGCCTGGCACCCGAGCCACGCCCTTGGGGACCCAGGACCGTACCCAACAGGCACCAGAGGGCTTGACAATGTCAGACCCACACAGGCTGAAGGGGCAGATGCTCCAGCTATGCGGGGCACGGACCTTCTGAGCCCTCCATCTTAGTGTGAGGCGGCATGCCCAGAGGTCAGCAACGAGGAAGGAGGAGCTGCTGAGACTCAGGGTTGGGCACTGGGCACTCGAGAAACCCACGCTCAAGCTCCCACAATCCACAGAAAGGTGGAAGGAGGGAAATCAGACTCTCCAGCACTGTCCTCTGACCTCCACAGGGGTGCATGGCATGTCTGCCCCACAACATATATACACATTAACACTTCTCTTTAAATGTGAGAGGGGCTGGGGAGATGGTTCAGCGGTAAAACCACTGGCCGATCTTCAGGAGGATCCGAGTTCAGGGCCCAGCACCCACAAGGGGGCCCACAACAGCCCTTAACTCTATTTATTTATTCATTTTTTTTTTTTTTTCCAGACAGGGTTTCTCCGTGTAGTTTTGGTGCCTGTCCTGGAACTCATTCTGTAGCCCAGGCTGGCCTCAAACGCAGAGATCCGCCTGGCTCTGCCTCCTGAGTACTGGGATTAAAGGTGTGCGCCACAGCTGCCTGGCACCCTACTTTAATTCTAGGGGTTCAGTGCCCTCTTCTGGCTTCCCTAGGAATGCAGACAGAACACCCACACACATAAAACTGAAGTTTTAAAAAACATCTTAAAAAAAAAACTGTACGTGTGTGGTGGGGAGGTGGGGGATGACTGGGCGTGGTGGTACACACTTAATCCCAGCACTTAGAAAGTAGAGGCAGGTGGGTACCAGTGAATTCTGGCTAGCTCGGTCTATACAGTGAGCTCCAGGCCAGCCAGTGATACACAGTGGGACCCTGTCTTAAAAAGGAAAGTGGGGGCAGGAGGACAGGAATATGGCCCCATAATAAGAGGAAGAAAGTTGCGCAGACGTAAGGGCTTCAATTTCCCATTTAATGAACAATAATTATCTCTACAGATCCGGGGAGCTCAGTGGCCCAGGATAAGCTCCATACCTGAAGAGGATGAGGGCTCAGGCAGGAGGCACGCCATGCTCACCTGGGCAATTACCACCACCAAAGCTTATCTAACTTTGTGGGGCAGGGGGAGGGGACGCAAGTTCTCACTGTGTAGCCCAGGCTGACCTGCAACTTATGGAGAGTCTCCTGCCTCAGTATCCTGAGTGAAGTGATGTTAGTGAGGGCTGGCCCTGCACTCCAACAGAGGCCCATGTGCACAAGCTGACTGCTGGCTCCACCCCTCGCATGCAGAACAGGGAGAGCATCCCAGAGCATAAGCGCAGAATCCTACAGACAGGTTCCTGCCGCCCAAGCCCTCTAGAGATCTGTACAGGGACCTGAGCTGGTGAGTGGCCACTCCAACTGCCTGAGGACAGGGATCCCTTAAACAAGTCTGGCCATGTGCAAGTGCACGCATGTGCTCACGCCCGCCCGTGTGTGTGGCTGTGCGTTCAGGTGCAAGTGCACGCATGTGCTCACGCCTGCCCGTGTGTGTGTGTGTGTGTGTGTGTGTGTGTGTGTGTGTGTGTGTGTGTGTGTATGCATTCAGGTGCAAGTGCACGCATGTGCTCACGCCTGCCTGTGTGTGTGTGTGTGTGTGTCTATGCATTCAGGTGCAAGTGCACGCATGGTGCTCACGTCCGCCCGTGTGTGTGGCTGTGTGTTCGGGCTGCAGTCTGGAGACACTGAGGTCACAGACGACAGGCACAAGGCTCAGGCCGAGGTCGCAGAGCAGACCTGCACAGGCACTGCACCAGGATGGGGTGGGTCCTGAGCTGGCCTGGAGCGAGCCAGTGAGTACAACCCACAGTCCCCTCCTACGGGAGAGCAATGACAGCCCCCACACCGCTGTCCCCTCGGTGTGGCCAGACTGTCCTCCATGTCAGCTCTGCAGTCAGCCCCTCACTGACCCGATGCAGACTGTCACCTGGTCAGGAGTGGAGGGTGACAGTTCTCATAGGGCACACACAAGATTGGGGGCTGCAGCCACGTGTTCTGGGCCCTCAGCTACCTGAGTCCAACTGCTCCCCAGGCATCACGTCCAGGTGAGGTCTGGGGACCAGAGCTGGCCTGATGGGTCTGCGCACAAGGCCGGTCCCTGGTGTTTTTTTCTTAAGGAGCTGGATAGGCCGAGCTCCTGCACATAGGTCTCCCACAACCCTACACAGAGCCAGGATGGGACACTTAGAGGACCTCTGGCCTCCTGGGCACTGCTGTGAACTAGGCCAGTCGCCTGAGAGAGGGGCACCAGGGGCTCACCCCAGATCCTGTGGCCCTGCATTTCAGAAGTCAGGGTAAGGGGAGCTAGGACCCCACCACAAAGCCAGGGCTCCTCCTCATCCTGAAGCCCCTGGGGATGGACCGAAGACGGTGTACGCAGGACTCACCTAGGCGAAGCTCTCCAAAGTTCCCACAGCCTATCTTCTTGCCGACTCGGAAGTTGGGGCCCACCATCAGGACCCCCGAGCTGGTCCCCGAGCTGCGGACGCCGTGGTTGCTCCGGCTCGTGCCCGTCTTGGACATTTTCCGGCCCTCCTCCAACTCCCCCTTCCCTCCTTTCTTGTCAAAATCCATAAGTTTGTGGTACCCTGGCCTCTCCACGGTGACTCTGCCGTGAGATCCGAGTGCGAAAGCTGAGCCCGCGCGCGCGCGCTCGGCCTAGTACACCATTGCGTCTGCTGGGCCCTCGGCTCCCAGCTACTGACACCTGGGCGCACTCACAGGCCCGGCCGCGGTGCTCATCTTGGTGGCCTCAGGGTCGCTTGCAGGGAGAGAAGACATTCTGCCAACAGGTCCCACCGCCTTAAATCTCGTGATGCCCAGCTGTGAAGAAACAGAGGCACAGGTTAGCGGGCACAGGGGACAACATGCGCCCAGCTGGGCTGCTCCACAACGACCTTTGAAGGTGTGAGCAAGATCTCTCCTGGGAGGGACAGCTGACCCTGGAGAGGTCAGAGGTCATAGCAGAGGCTACTGTGGAGTGGACATGTGCTCTACTTGCCACGTGACCACGCCCAGGCCCCTGGGAGAAGTAAAGGAAGAAAGGAAAGCCAGCCAGGATCAGAGGTGACCACGGGCCGACCACATCAGGGGCTGCCAAGACAAGGAGTGGCAGATGGCGCAGCAGACGGCGCCTCTGTGGAGACAGGAGCCACACCTGACCTAAGTGGGCAGGTCAAGGGACTCCAGGCATGCAGGCAGCCACGGCAGGAAGGCAAACGGCATGCAGCGCCGGGTGAAAAGCAGGTGCTCGCCCTCCGCGCTCACCTGCATCTCTCAGCCCCAAAGCCCTGGCTGTCTCTCCAGGCTGCCAGGCCATCCACACAGGAGGGAGGGCTTGGCCAGCTTCAGAAGTCCCCGAGGACGTGCACTCACTCCTGGGGCACAGGGGTCCAGGCAGAGGGGGATGGACAGGGAGGAGGCTTGGAGCATGCGGAGCCCAACCTGACTGAAGTTGTCCAGGCTACGCCAAACCTCTGCAGGTGCAGGGGTTGTAAGAAGGGGGTCTGGGCTCTGTGGCACCTGCTACAGCTGCCCATGACCAGGACAGTCCAAGTGTCACACAGTGCAGGGTCTCATGAAAGCTAGGCCAAGAACATAGCCCCATCCCTGGAAGAAGGCGGAACCTTGGGTGCTGGAAGCCATGGCAGGCCTCTCACACCCGCATTCTACGGCCTGCAGGAACCCAGAATGCCGGCTGCAGCTGCTCCCTCACCGCAGCTTGACTCAAGACCCACTCTGGCACCAGGACCTCGCCATCCAACTGTGTCGACGCGTGCTCTAATGTGCATTCTGGTGCCGTGTGTGCGGAGGCATGTTCCGTTTGTGCACGTGTGGAATCCATGTGTGAAGGTGGAGGCCAGGTCAACATCAGGTGTGGTTATCAGGCACTGACCACTATTGTCAGTCAGGTCTCTCCCTGAACACGTCCCAGGAGTCCTCCTGTCTGGCCTGGAACTCACTGGGAGCCCGGGTCACCATCGATCTCAGATATCTGCCATGCCTGCTTTTTACGTGAGTGCAAGATCACACACAGAGCGCTACACTTTCAAGGCAACAGAGCCATCTGCCCAGGCCTTGGGTTGGGTTTTGTTTCTGAAATAGGGTCCTCCTACCTCAGACACTGAAAGCAGAGTTCACAGGTATGTTCTCCACAGCCAGCCACAGGCCATGTGTGGATGTGTGCGCTCTTGGGGCACATTTGGAGGGGCTGCCAGCCTGCTTCCCAGCTCAGCCCGCAGCACCCCGTCCCCACGCACTGGGGTCCCCTGCCAGCACCCATCCAGGCAGTGATTCACCTGTTTGCTTGCTGACTCCTATGGGCTGCCAGCCTGCTTCCCAGCTCAGCCCCCAGCACCCCGTCCCCACGCACTGGGGTCCCCTGCCAGCACCCATCCAGGCAGTGATTCACCTGTTTGCTTCCTGACTCCTATTTACACATTGCTCGGCTGGGTTGTGGCTAGCAGCCCGCCGCCGCCGCCGCCGCCGCCAATGCAGTCAGTGAGGAGACACCACAGCGGCCAGGCCATCCATCGCACCAGCCCGTGAGTTCACTGACCGCATCTCCCACACACTGGCTCTCCGCACGGCGGAACATGAGGGAACCCTGGGCAGTCAGCCTGGCTCCCCAGTGGAAAAGTCTAACCTCCTTCATGGGTATGCAGCAGCAACCTCTCCTCAAGATAAAGGGGACCCCTGAAAAAAACCAGGCACGGGGCCCACTGGGCTGGAGAGCAGAAGCCCACATGGGTCTCTACAATGTGGACAGATACACCACAGACCATCAAGTACCCACCAAAGACACCCACAAAATCCAGCACCGAGGCAAGCCTCACCAGCATCAGGCCATTTCCCTCCCACACTGGGGACACCATGGGGGTGGAGCTAGCTCTTGGAGGCTTTGCAGAGATCTCAACAGGCTGGGCCGCTCCTGTCCCTCTGTCCTCCCTGGAACACTGAACAACAGCAGAATGGGAGGCAGCAAAGGCATGCCCGGAAGACTGGCACCCCGACGTGCCTGCACTGTGGACCTCAAGGACAGTGAGGAGATGGGTGTGGCTCAGGGCCTACTCCAGGACCTATGTGCCTCCAGGGGCAGGGGGGAGTCTGGCGGAGACTGCACCTGGGCAGGTGGGCCTGGGGAAGGCTGCGCAGTAGACAGAAGCATCTACTTTTCACTCTTGCCCAGTAAGGGACACACCTGGGCCACTGTCCCTTAGAATACTCCCTCCAGAGCCTCTGTGTCCACACACAGGGTCACCAGGAAGTCATTAGGAAGCATCAGCAGGTTTCTGACTGTGGCTCAGTGGGCAGAGCGCTCAGCTAACATGCACGAAGGAAGCCCTAGGGCCATCCCTAGCACAGAAAACAAACCATCAATCATCTCAACACGCAGGAGGATCAGGAGTTCAAGGTCAGTCTGGGTTACATGAGACCTTGTTTTCAAAATCATTATCACAGGTCAACAATATGATGGCTCGGTGGATAAGGTTGCCTGATGCTGAATTTGATGCCCCATCTCATCCCTGGGATCCCCTGGTAGGAGAGAACGGTCCTCCATACACATGGGGCAGTAGCACATGTACCCCCCTATAAACACATACTAAGCAAATACACTGACATTTTTAAAAGTGCACACACAGGGCTGGAGAGATGGCTCAGAGGTTAAGAGCACTGAATGATCTTTCAGAGGTCCCGAGTTCAATTCCCAGCAACCACATGGTGGTTCACAACCATCTGCAATGAGACCTGGTGCCCTCTTCTGTATACATAATAAATAAATAAATCTTTTAAAAAAAAAAAGTGCACACACACACAGAGGCACTCTCGGGGGCTAGCACCCTGCCCCCAGCACCCCTGCATCTCTCTGGAGGCATGTCCAGTGACAGAGCCCAGGGCTCTACCTGTCACGGTGATGCACTCAGACGAGGAAGGGCCACTTCAAAAGGTGCACACGTCTGCAGGAGCCAGCCCTTCACACCCTTCAAGTCCCCAGACAGGACATTACTAACACCTGTGAGAGCAGCCTGGGGAGTTGGGTGTCCCCACCCCCCTACAGTGCTCAGCTTGTCTTCAAGTGCACCTCTGCAGAGGGCAGGTGGAGGTCCACCATGGGGCCCGGCTGGGAGCCAGGGCTGGATGGAGCGGGCAGCACTGAGCAGGGGCAGTGATGTCAGGAAAAAATTGGACGTCTGGCTGTGCCAAATTCAAGGACTGGTAAACATCAACGTTAGGGAAGAGGTGCCCCCACTCATGCATGTCCACATCACACATGAACATGGGGTACCCCAGGTCACAGGAGGCAGCAGGGCCTCTCCAAGGATGGGAGAGAAAGGTACCCAGATGAGGCTGGGCCCTTCAGGCCTGAGGGGCTACAGGAGTTCCCAGGGGCGGGGTTGAGCGCCACTTTCTTCTGGGGAAGAGCGAGCCCTAACCTGGGAGGATAAGGACAGGCCACTATGTCTTCTTCAGCATGGCTGGATCTCTGCAGACCTGTGACCTGCAGAGATGCCCATTACAGGTCCAGGAGCTCCAGGTCCAGGACTCACCACATGAACACGAGCCCTCATGAGGCACCTGAGCTCAATGTGGCCCCTGGCTCCATTGCCCACCTACGATGTGTGGGGGGCAAGACCCAGGTGGCACACAGCAACAAGAAGTATATGGTGGTGTCTGCAGGGCTGGGCAGGAGATGGCAAATGGGGGTGCAGTACAAGGATCCTCCATCGGACACCAACCCTGGCGGACTCGAAGCAGGCAGTCTGGAGCAGGAGCAGGCCCACCTCACTGCTTGTACGCCTGAACCATGGGGTTTCTGGGCCAGTGAGTACGCTGCCCACCTTCTGAGTGGACATGGCAAGGAGACATCAGGGCCTCATCTGTCCATCTACTGTCCCCATGCACCCTACAGTCGGCTGGGAACACCACGATGGCCACTGCCTGTCTCATGTCACTGCCACCAGGCCAGGGGAGGTGGACAGGCCAAGGAGGACCTGAAAGCTGGCATGAGATGGGGCCACAGTGTGGGGGACGGTGGGAACGACCTGAGGACACCATGGCTGCCCCAAGACACGAACCAAGCCTCGCTCTCCTCAGTCACAAGAAGAGCTGCGTAGGCATGGACTATGAGGCAGTCTGTGATGCCCAGGAGAGTGAGGACACCACCAGATGGCTGTCACTCCAACACGGAGGGCCAGTGAAACAGATAACCTTGGTGACAGGCAGCTGTGGTGTCTCAGGCACACCTGAGCATGTGCAGAGTGACCTGGGACCCCAGAGAAGAGGAAATGCTACTCATATTGGCCCTGGCTGAAGCTTGCAGTTAAAAATAGAGCGCTTGGAAGGCAGGCAGGCCTTCCCGGCCCTAAATAAACCCTCCCTGGCCTGACCCACAAGGCCCAGAGCCCAGGCTGTTCCTGGGGGTGAGCCTAGGCTCAGGGGAAATACTGGGCTGGCCTGAGCAAGGATAGGGCGCAAAACCAGCTACAGGGTGCTCACTCAGGGGGCTGGCTGGCAGCAGGCTGGACCCCCACCAGAGACACCCCTCCTTGCGAGGCCCCAGCACGCACCTGCCCTGTTCTTTTTGGGGTCCCCCATCTTGCTGGGGCCCTGGCTGCTCCCCTGTTGGAGGCCCCCAAGCCCCTCCTCTGCATCTTCACTCAGTGATGTCACAGTCCCTGGCTGACGTCATTGGCAGTTCCCAGGCTAGACCTGGTACCTACCTAAGGGGACAGGCAGGGACAACACCCAGCACAGGAGCCCTGCAGTGGCTGGGGACCTGGGCTGCAGCCCCAGGGATGCTGCACCTGAGCGACAGCCTAACT